GGCAACCAATCACATGCCCATTACTATCCCATTAAAGCCTAATCACCCTTACCCTGCTCAACACCAATATTCCATCCCACGGCACACTTTAAAAGGATTAAAGCCCGTTATTACTCGCCTGTTATAGCATGGCCTTTTAAAGCCCATAAACTCTTCTTACCGTTCCCCATTTTACCTGTCCAAAAACCAGACAAGTCTTACAAGTTAGTTCAGGATCTACGCCTTATCAACCAAATTGTTTTGCCTACCCACCCCATGGTGCCAAATCCATATACTCTCCTATCCTCAATACCTCCCTCCACAATCCCTCCACAACCCATTATTCTGTTCTGGATCTCAAACATGCTTTCTTTACTATTCCTTTGCACCCTTCATCCCAGCCTCTCTTTGTTTTCACTTGGACTGACCCTGACACCCATCAGGCTCAGCAAATTACCTGGGCTGTACTGCTGCAAGATTTCACGGACAGCCCCCATTACTTCAGTCAAGCCTAAATTTCTTCCTCATCCCTTACCTATCTCGGCATAATTCTTCATGAAAACACACATGCTTTCCCTGCTGATCGTGTCTGGTTAATCTCTCAAACCCCAATCCCTTCTACACTTCCTTCCTAGGCATGGTTAGATACTTCTGTCTTTGGATACCTAGTTTTACCATCCTGATTAAACCATTAAACTCACAAAAGCAAGCCTAGCTGACCCCATAGATCCTAATCCTTTCGCTACTCCTCTTTCCCTTCTTTAAAAATAGCCCTAGAAGCTGCTCCCACACTAGCTTTCCCTAACTCATTCCAACCCTTTTCATTACACACAGCTAAAATATAGGGCTGTGTGGTCAAAATTCTTACACAAGAGCCGGGACTGTGCCCTGTAGTCTTTCTGTCCAACTTGACCTTACTGTTTTAGGCTGGCCCCCACATTATACCTGATACCACACCTGACCCCCAAGATTGTATCTCTGATCCACCTGACATTCACTCCATTTCCCCATATTTCCTTCTTTTCTGTTCCTCACTCTGATCACACTTGGTTTATTGATGGCAGTACCACCAGGCCTAATTGCCACTCACCAGCAACGGCAGGCTATAGTATCCTCCACATCTATCATTGAGGCTACCACTCTGCCCCTCTCCACTACCTCTCAGCAAGCCAAACTCATTACCATAACTTGGGCCCTCATTCCTGCAAAGGGACTATGTGTCAATATTTATACTGACTCTAAATATGCCTTCCATATCCTGCACCACCACGCTGTTATGTAGGCTGAAAAAGATTTCCTCACTATGCAAGGGTCCTCTATCATTAATGCCTCTTTAATAAAAACTCTTCTCAAGGCCACTTTACTTCCAAAGGAAGCTGGAGTCATTCACTGCAAGGGCCATCAAAAGGCATCAGATCCCATTGCTCAAGGCAATGGTTATGCTGATAAGGTTGCTAAAGAAGCAGCTAGCGTTCCAACTTCTGTCCCTCATGGCCAGTTTTTCTCCTTCTAATCAGTCACTCCCACCTACTCCCCAACTGAAGCTTCCACCTATCAATCTCTTTCCACACAAGGCAAATTGTTCTTAGACCAAGCAAAATATCTCCTTCCAGCCTCACAGGTCCATTTCTATTCTGTTATCATTTCATAACCTCTTCCATGTAGGTTACAAGCCACTAGCCCATATCTTAAAACCTCTCATTTCCTTTCCATCATGCCAATATATCCTCCAGGAAATCACTTCTCAGTGTTCCATCTGCTATTCTACTACTCCTCAGGGATTGTTCAGGCCCCCTCCCTTCCCTACACATCAAGCTCGGGGATTTGCCCCTGCCAAGGACTGGTAAGTTGACTTTACTCACATGCCCTGAGTCAGAAAACTAAAATAAACTAAAATGCCCTGAGTTTAGAAAACTAAAGTCAGAAAACTCTTGGTCTGGATAGACACTTTCACTGGATGGGTAGAGGCCTTTCCCACAGGGTCTGAAAAGGCCACCACGGTCATTGCTTCCCTTCTGTCAGACATAATTCTTAGGTTTGGCCTTCCTACCTCTATACAGTCCAATAACGGACTGGCCTTTATTAGTCAAATCACCCAAGCAGTTTCTCAGGCTCTTGGTATTCAGTAAAACCTTCATACCCCTTACTGTCCTCAATCTTCAGGAAAGGTAGAACAGACTAATGGTCTTTTAAAAACACACCTCACCAAGCTCAGCCTCCAACTTAAAAAAGAGGACTCTGTCAAGAATAGAGCCCCAAAACTCAGCAACCAAGCGAGTAATTGCGCTGAACCCCCTTGGGCACTCTCTAATTGGATATCCTGAGTCCTCCCAATTCTTGGTCCTTTAATACCTGTTTTTCTCCTTCTCTTATTCAGACCTCATGTCTTCCGTTTAGTTTCTCAATTCATACAAAACCATATCCGGGCCATCACCAATCATTCTATGTGACAAATGTTTCTTCTAACAACCCCACAATATCACCCCTTACCACAAAATCTCTCCCACTCTAGGTTCCCACAGTGACCCTAATTCTGCTCAAAGCAGCCCTGAGAAACATCACCCATTATCTCTCCATACCATTCCCCTAAAATTTTCACTGCCCCATTACTTCAACACTATTTTACATTATTTTTCTTATTAATATAAGAAGACAGGAATGTCAGGCCTCTGAGCCCAAGCTAAGCCATCATATATCCCCTGTGACCTGTACATATACATCCAGATGGCCTGAAGCAAGTGAAGAATCACAAAAGAAGTGGAAATGGCCGGTTCCCGCCTTAACTGATGACATTACCTTGTGAAATTCCTTCTCCTGGTTCAGAAGTTCCCCCACTGAGCACCTTGTGACCCCTGCCCCTGCCCACCAGAGAATAACCCCCTTTGACTGTAATTTTCCACTACCTAACCAAATCCTATAAAATGGCCTCACCCCTATCTCCCTTTGCTGATTCTCTTTTTGGACTCAGCCCGCCTGCACCCAGGTGAAATAAACAGCCTTGTTGCTCACACAAAGCCGGTTGGTGGTCTCTTCACAGGGACATGCATGACAGTTTCCTGATCTGTAAAATGGGGATAATAATAGTAACTACCGGACAGGGTTGTTGTGAGGATTAAATGAATCAATATATAAAAAGCACTTAGAATACTATCTGACACATTGTAAACACTCAGTGCTAGCAGCTGCGTTAACTTCATTGTTTTTTGTTTTTTGATTTTTTGGGAAAACATCTGGATTTCATTTGGTAGTTTAAAGGTTTTTGAAAATGTTGATGTATACCACAAGCTAGCTACTTGAAGCTGGATGATCAGACAGTAACTGTTATCTTTTATTTTATTGTTGG